CAATACTTGTAGTATTGCATCACCAAACGCCAGTGCAGCTGTCTGTAAGGGTATCAATGAAGCTGAACAGCATAAATCAAATCAGTGGGTAATAATGGACAAGTTAAACAGTAATTTTAATGGCATATAAACTGATAGACAAAAATGGATACTTAACTTAATACTTAGAGCAATGCCAAAGATATTGGAGGAGTGTAGATAGCTGATGGCTGAGTCACAGAGGATGGACAGTAGAGTTACAGATGATGGATGGTAGAGTTACAGATAACTGACAGTAGAGTTACAGATGACTGACGGTAGAGTTACAGATGACTGATGGTAGAAGTACAGATGACTGACGTACTGACTAGTAGTTTCCTTTAAATTCATTGAAAAAGTTATCAATCTTGTCCATGACAAACTCGCTGAACTGCCAGTTGCACACTCGCTAAGTAAAGGGAAAATGGACACCAATATAAACACCAAGAAATACTGACGGGCTTCTTTTGTTTGGTGCCCACCCACACACGTGTTTAAGTAATGAAGTGGTTTTTGCGCTCGGTTTGACAGATCAGTTCAGATGCGCAGTGCGCATCTGAACAAAGCACATCTAAAAGCTCCCCGATTGCTAAACTTCCCTTCAAGATAAAAATTCCGCTGCAGTCGACTGTCACAGACGACTGATGGTAAAAGTACAGACAACTGACAGTAGAGTCACAGACTACTGATGGTAGAAGTACAGACAGCTGATGGTAGAGTTACAGACGACTGACGGTAGAAGTACAGACGACTGACGGTAGAAGCACAGATGACTGACATCTCATAGGCCCACTGAAAATGCTTCTGGGGTAGTCTTGCCTTTAACTCGAGTGTACCAGATAGTCTCCCCAACTGGAACTGAAATAGACACAAGAGAGATCAGCATGGCCCCTTAAATGTTTCAAAGGTAAAGAAAATAATGATCACTGGTCAGACAAGTGAAGATTATTCATCAAGAGCACACTTTAAGTTACTAACCTATGGTACTGGCGGCCAGAGCAAGAGTGACTGATAGCCAGCTAATGAGCACTGACTATGACTGCGGGTGCAAATATTACCCTAGGGTTTACTAAAAATGGCTTGATCCTTACACTGTCATTCACACATGCTGATCTCTCTTGTCGGCATTGGACTTGTCATTTTACAACTTGCAAAATCACTATACGATTGAAGGCAGAGCTCTGAAATTTGAAGAGCATGCTCAAAGAACTATTAGCTTGTTTTCTCACCATCTTTCATTAATGCCCAATAATAGTAAAAAAAATTCTTGCCCAATTTGGCTTCACTCGTGCTGAAGCCAAAACTGACTATCTGCCATTTTGGTCATTTTTAGCGCATTTTCTCATTTATGGAAAAAATGCACTATTGTGCTCACCATGTCTGTCCATCTGTCTGTCTGTCTGTCTGTCCATCTCTCCATGACCTCAAGTTTTTGTCGATGAGAAAATGCGCTCGCTGTCATTCACTGCAGTGTGTACTGAGTTACCTATATTTTTTGTGGTCTTGCTTTGTTTGTGCACAACCTACTATAATAAAGAAAAATGATACATTTTCACCTATGTTTTTTCATATGATCATTTTATTTGCACATTTCTGCTAAGTACAATTAATTCCAGTACAAGTCTGCCTTATATTCCTGATTGGCTTTTAGCATGGTCATTTTTGTCTCATTCATGTACATTTTAGTTTACTGTAAGTTTGTGCATTTGATACAAAGTTCTGTCTGGAAGATATGGCTAGCAGTAAAATTTGCAAATTCACTTTGTCAAAAGCAACAATTTTGACAACTCAAAAGTGTGCCAATGAAAAATAAAATGTTGTATCCAATCAACTATTAAAAAGTAAGATATTTTGGTGCATATTCTCAATACCGTACCAACCTATATACTAGAACTACTGATTACAAGGTATCTCATTGTAGTTGATTTTAGTAAAGTTTCTCTAACAACAGCCGGCAGTAACATGGATGCTGCACCTGTGCTCCCTGATATCGCTGGTCTCGGTCTCAGCTAACACACCCCGCACCTTCGAGATGCACCACGAGCTGCGATACATCACACTCGCTGCTGACCTCTTCGTCACGCTGCTCTTCACCACAGAGATGATCATCAAAATGCACTCGTTTGGCATCATCAGGGTGAGTGGCATACTTGTGTTGCAATCTTAATATATTTAATATTTGTTAATATTTGTGCTTAAATTATCAGGGTGAGTGACCTACTTCGGTTACAATTATTATGGTGAGTCAAATGCTTCCATTATAATCACCAGGGGGAGTGAAAGGACTTTTTAGGTAAAGTCTAGACCAGCAGCAAAAGAATTTTTTGTTGTCTTTTTTAGGGATGAGTGGTGTGCTTCACACGATATCATCAGTGTGCGTAGAAAGCTTCAGCCGGTATCGTTCTTATGATTATTCTACAAAGCAGTTTTCGTGGCGTCTGGTTCAAATGAACTTCGAGGGCACGTTACACATAAGTTTACTAGCGACCTTGAACTGCGTGCGCTACTGCATGCACAGCCAGTGAAGATCGCGCAATATCAGCGACGCGTGGTCGAATTTTTTGCTTATTGCATATGAGTCATGCAGCTGCGTTCATTATGGGTTGCAGTTTAAAAAGTGCTGTGGTCGGAAGTCAATAGAGTGTGGCTTTACATAGTCCAATCAGGTCAGAATGAGCGCCACCACTAAAAAGGGCCTCGAGAGATAGTGGCTGACGCTACGTAGTCGACGCAGAGCGCCAAAAAAGCGGTGGTGACTATATGGCAATGTGATGGTTCATAGAAAGTTCCGAGTCCAGCAGAATGTCCAGGTTACGAACCGAAGACACATGGCACGACAAACTCGTTGCCCACACGAACAGGGTTGGCTGGAAGCTGATACTGGCGATGAGCAGTCGCAAACCAAATAAAGTAGTTCTTTATGCATCGAACTAGAGCTGGTTGGAGTGCATCCAGTCTGAGACGGCGTCCATGCAGACTATATATAGACATCCGGTCCTGCAACGCTGCAACGTCCGCCAGTGCACAGTAGCCTCATATTTGGGGGTCGTCGGCGAACATGTGCGAAATCAAACTGTGAATCAATTGGTATGTGCAATACGTTGACAGTATATAACAGGAAGCGGATCGGGCCGAGCAACGATGGCTTTTGAAGAAGAGTTCCCGCATCGAACGCTTCGGAATCTATTTCTGAGACAGGACTCGAACCACCGCAGCACTGTGTCGCACAGGCCGGATGATATGTCAAATGACGCAATAAAGTGGCGTGGTCGACCGAAGCACCTTCAGCACGGTGGTTTCCATCGAGTGGAGATGGCGGTATGCAGACTGGAGACGAGGCATGAGACCGGACTGCTAAAGATGGTTTTCAGCTGTCGGGCCACAACTCGTTCTAGAAGTTTCGACAAAATCGAAGATAAAAATTCCGCTGCAGTCGACTGTCACAGACGACTGATGGTAAAAGTACAGACAACTGACAGTAGAGTCACAGACTACTGATGGTAGAAGTACAGACAGCTGATGGTAGAGTTACAGACGACTGACGGTAGAAGTACAGACGACTGACGGTAGAAGCACAGATGACTGACATCTCATAGGCCCACTGAAAATGCTTCTGGGGTAGTCTTGCCTTTAACTCGAGTGTACCAGATAGTCTCCCCAACTGGAACTGAAATAGACACAAGAGAGATCAGCATGGCCCCTTAAATGTTTCAAAGGTAAAGAAAATAATGATCACTGGTCAGACAAGTGAAGATTATTCATCAAGAGCACACTTTAAGTTACTAACCTATGGTGCTGGCGGCTGGAGCAAGAGTGACTGATAGCCGGCTAATGAGCACTGACTATGACTGCGGGTGCAAATATTACCCTAGGGTTTACTAAAAATGGCTTGATCCTTACACTGTGATTCACACATGCTGATCTCTCTTGTTGGCATTGGACTTGTCTTTTTACAACTTGCAAAATCACTATGCGATTGAAGGCAGAGCTCTGAAATTTGAAGAGCATGCTCAAAGAACTATTAGCTTGTTTTCTCACCATCTTTCATTAATGCCCAATAATAGTAAAAAAAATTCTTGCCCAATTTGGCTTCACTCGTGCTGAAGCCAAAACTGACTATCTGCCATTTTGGTCATTTTTAGCGCATTTTCTCATTTATGGAAAAAATGCACTATTGTGCTCACCATGTCTGTCCATCTGTCTGTCTGTCTGTCTGTCCATCTCTCCATGACCTCAAGTTTTTGTCGATGAGAAAATGCGCTCGCTGTCATTCACTGCAGTGTGTACTGAGTTACCTATATTTTTTGTGGTCTTGCTTTGTTTGTGCACAACCTACTATAATAAAGAAAAATGATACATTTTCACCTATGTTTTTTCATATGATCATTTTATTTGCACATTTCTGCTAAGTACAATTAATTCCAGTACAAGTCTGCCTTATATTCCTGATTGGCTTTTAGCATGGTCATTTTTGTCTCATTCATGTATGGCTTTTATACAATTTTCCACTTGGAATGATAAACAAATTTTTTGGCACTTGACTAATTTCATTGTATGATCATCATTTATGGCATAAAGGTTGCCAGACTGTCCTATCAGCCTTCTAATTTAGTCATAATGTAAATTCATTAATATGCTGGCTAAGTCTAGAGTACCTATCAATAAATGTCATCTTATATTATTTTGAAGGACTCGTAAATGAGTAATTATAATAAAATATTTTTACAGTAAAATATTTTTCCGCATGCTCTTTACTGTCTGAAATATTTATTAAACATGATTTGTATGAATAGAGATAGGTAAATTTGAAATTTAAAAAAATAATTTGAATAATGATTAAGTTAATGTTGTTAGTTGTAGGTTATCATATTCTTATTAGTACATCTCAAAACAGATATATGTAGTACTATTTAATGCAGCAGCAGAACTCCATGAATCTAAAAATTACTATAAAAAGCCAAATTTGTTCCAGATCAGTTTCAATTTCATAAAAAATTATTTTTTATCAACTACATTAAATATTTTTAAACTATAGGTTTGATGAAATCAGTGATCAAGATGTGAAGTTACTGGTGGTTTAGTATTCTCTGGCAGCCATGTTGGGCCGCCGTCAGTCAGTTAGGGGTGAGCCCATCCTCATAGACTACACTCTCTATGAGAACGCTAATGAAAGCTCTGATCTTGAGTGGATGAAAAAGGTAAGATTTCACCATCTGGACAACCTAACTTGTAAATGTGATGAGATACTAACAGGTAAGGTCGTGAATATGTTTACATTTTAGTTTAAGTTTGTGTGTTTGACACAAAGTTCTGTCTAGAAATACGTACCGTAGCTAGCAGTAAAATTTAAAATTTTTTTTTGTCAAAAGCAACACTTTTGATAACTCTTTAGTAGGTAATGAAAAATAAAACATTAAATCAAATCGACTATCAAAAAGTAAGATATTTTAGTGCATATTCTCAATACCATCATATGTACTAGTACTACTGACTACAAGATATCAGTTGATTTTAGTAAAGTTTCTCTAACAACAGCCTGCAGTAACATGGATGCTGCACCTGTGCTCCCTGATATCGCTGGTCTCGGTCTCAGCTAACACACCCCGCACCTTCGAGATGCACCACGAGCTGCGATACATCACACTCGCTGCTGACCTCTTCGTCACGCTGCTCTTCACCACAGAGATGATCATCAAAATGCACTCGTTTGGCATCATCAGGGTGAGTGGCATACTTGTGTCGCAATCTTCAGGTCGATGTGAACACCCGTGTTGCAATTATCAATGTGAGTTGCATTCTACTGTTGCAATATCAGGGTGAGGTTAATGATTCTGCTGCAATTATCAAGGTGAGTGACATACTTCAGTTACAATCATTATGGTGAGTCAAATGCTTCCATTATAATCACCAGGGGGAGTGAAAGGACTTTTTAGGTAAAGTCTAGACCAGCAGCAAAAGAATTTTTTGTTGTCTTTTTTAGGGATGAGTGGTGTGCTTCACACGATATCATCAGTGTGTAGAAAGCTTCACCCGGTATCGTTATCTTTATATTATACGAAGCATTTATCTTGGCGTTAGGTTCAAACGAACTTCGAGGGAACGTTACACATAAGTTTAATAGCAAGCGAAACATAGAAATTAAGACGAGACAGGATTATAACGGATGAAAATGACTAAGAACTTGATTCATATAGGCCACGGAAGCCGGCAGACTGTTCCAGGTTTTTACATCTCACTACATCGGCGACCGGGAACGCTCTGTCACCGACGGTAGATGGACGTGTAGATGGAACGACGAGGTTCGCTGTTGATGACGAGCGTAATTTTCTTCTAGGAGGCATATCCCACACGCGCTGCAGACATTTCCGATGCTTTCACGGCACCAGACCGTGTATACATCGGAACGTCAGGACAGCGACCTTTGTCGGTTTTTGATGCATTGAGCTGGAGCTGATTGGAGTGCATCCAGTCTGAGACGGCGTCCATGCAGACAGACATCCGGTCCTGCAACGCTGCGGCGTCCGCCGGTGCACCGTAGCCAAAAAATTTGGGTGTCGTCGACTAACATAAGCGGAATCGATCTATGTGAATCAATTATGTGCAACACGTCGACAGCATATATAACAGGAAGAGGATCGGGCCGAGAACTGATCCCTTTGGCACGCCGCAAGTGACGAAGATGGCGTAGAAGAAAGGTTCCCGCGTCGAACGCATTGGAATCTACTGCTGAGATGGGACTCGAACCACCGCAGCACTTTGACACGCAGGCCGAATGATAGGATACGTCAAGTCGATGCAATAAAGTGGCGTGGTTGACCGAGTCAATCGCGGCCGACAGGTCGAGTACCAGTGCCGCAATGTCGCCGCGGTCTGGAGAAGTACCTTCAGCACAGCGGTTTCCGACTAGTGGAGATGACGGTATAAGCAGACTAAAGACGAGGCATGAGACCGGACTGCTGAAGATGGTCGTTCAGCTGTCGGGCCACAACGCGTTCCAGGAGTTTCGACAAAATCGACAGGTTGGAGATGGTCGAAATGATTTGGAATCAGAAGCGTCAAGGCCTATTTTTTCAATATTGATCTTGCAGCACGCAGTCGAACCGACACGGTGCATATGTTGCCGACGGAGCACCGGCTGACGACGCTCGCACAGCACAAATATTGTTTTAAGAAACTGCACGGAATTCCTCCACGCTTACGTCACCCGAAGCCTCTGTATGACCTCTTCCCACGAGTTTATCCAGCGAACGCCACAGTGCTAGAGAGTCATTGCGTTGGGCGTTGACTCTATGGCGCCAAAATGACCCATTTCATTAAGGTTTGTATTAAGGTTTGTGGAATGCTTCAACTGGTATCATCAGGTTATGTGGAATACTTCAATCACAATCACATACTTTTACCCGTGTTCCAGGGTGACACTCCGTACCTGAAGGACCGCTGGTGCCAGTATGACGCCAGTATGGTCTTCTTTCACTGGGTGTCCATTGTGCTGCACGTGTTCGAGCTGATGCAGTGGGTGGAGCCGTACGCTGCCCTGTCGGTGCTGCGCGCTCCACGCCCTCTCATCGTCGTCAGGCTCGTCAGGCTCTTCCTCATCTTCTCTCTGCCCAAGAGCAGACTCAAGCAGATCTTCAAGTGGGTTTCAGATATGCTCTTGTGGTTGCAGGAATGTTGAGGGCGTCTAGTGATCTTGTTTACGTCGATTTTAAATTATTTTATCACTTCAATGTCTGTTTTATCACAATTTTATACTACATTACCAGTATGTGTATACTACAGCAGCTGTACGGCGCCTAGCTCTAACTCTAGAAGTTCGAGCTAACCGATGAGGAACACGTCGTTGTAAGGGCTGATTTGGGTGCAGCTGTACTTATATAACGTCGTTGTGTGTTAATGTGCAATGTTCGAGCCAGCAGATCACGAACGTGTCGCTGTTCTTCTTATCGCTGTACCTGCCTCCAGAGACTTCAGCTGTATATTTCTCTGCAGACGTTCGAGCCAGCAGATCACGAACGTGTCGCTGTTCTTCCTGTTCTTCTTATCGCTGTACGGGCTGCTGGGGGTGCAGCTGTTCGGTGACCTCAGCAGACACTGCGTCCTCGCGTCTAACCGCACCAACTCATCCGATGAACCGTTAGTATTTGATATATTTTATCCATGATTAATAATACGTATTCAATTATTATAAATTTCTGCTGTTAAGATTCAATTTCATACCTTTTTTTACTGCTGCTTATTCTAATTATTTATACATTAATTTGTTAATGAATTTTGTTGTTAAAAATTCGACTTGCACAAATTTTTTTTGCCGCTAGCTATTACTCTTATATCGGTAATTTCCTGGCCGAATATAATTTTTACATTTCAACTCATTATACTTTGAATTACTTTCATTATGTTTTCACATAGATACCATTATTATCGGTTACAAGAGTTATAAGAATACTTATGGCGGACGATGCGATTGATGACGAGGTATTGATGAAGAACAATAACAAAAGACGAATTAAAAGAGCAATAAGTAAGCTGGAGTCCTACTGTGACTCGCGTCACCTACTACCTATGTGACGAGAGAAAATATCAGAATGAAAACATTTTAATCACCAAAACTATAAAATAATAGTTGGCCAAACTGTAAAATGAATTCATTTATTAGGAGCCCTACTATTTAATAACCAATTTTCCAATGCTGTACCGTACGCCTTGAGACGCGTGAAACGAAACGGAGTTTCTAGCTGGGCAGCGAGATGGGTGGTTCTCTGTGTGTGGTTCAAAATAAATTAATTACTTATGTCTGTTTGGGACCTATAAAATAAACTTTGTTTGGAGGAGGAGGCGGCACGTACTGTTCGGGCAGGAAATAAATGGAGGAACGAAAGTGTTACATCCTGTATACACAGAATATCATAAGATCCTATTCATATTCTTTATATATGATGTATAATAAATATTATACCTATATAATTTCTTATACAATATCGTATAAATAACGCCAGGATTCGTGTGCTCAAGATGAGGCCTGTCAACAAAATATCATAGACTATTTTCTTTACATATCCCTTATATAAATTATAATACACACTACAGAAGTGGCAGGGTATGTTCGATCGATAGGCCTGTAGATATCATATCATAGACTATTTCCTATATCATATTAGTATATAGAATACTTGCTATACTATATATACTACGGAAAATATGTAAAATAGTGTATATTAAAGTATATATACCACAATAAAATATGTAAAATAGTGTATATTAAAGTATATATACAACAATAAAATATGCAAAATAATGTATATATTATAGTATATATACTATAATAAAATATTCAAAATAGTATATATTATAGGATATTACCCACAAAAAAAAAATATTATAAATAGTATATACAGTGGGGGGAAATAAATATTCGTATACTTGAAAAATCGTATTTTAATGTATGTAAGTACACAAACTTAACAGGAAAAGTAATTTAAATTATGTATAGAGACGCATAGTATTCAAAAATACTATCAAAAGAAATTAAATCTCAGCATTGAGATTTAATTTCTATTGATGCTATTTTTGAATACAATGCGCCTCTATACATAATATAAATCACTTCTCCTTTTCAGTTTGTGTACTTACATACATTAAAATACGATTTTTCAAGTGTACGAATATTTATTTCCCCCCACTGTATATATATTATAGTTAGTATCAGAAGGCAGAATAAGCTTGTTTCAACACGGGTGGTTAATGGCCAGGGAATTCGTCAATTTAAATTTTCAGGGTCGAACAATATTCTTCAGATGAATTGTATATACATATATATATATATTATAGTATATATACCATAATAAAATATTGAAAATATTATATATTATTGTATATATACCACTATAAAAGATGCAAAATAGTATATATTATAGTATATATACCACAAAAAATATGAAAAATAGTATATAGTTGCAATAAAACATATAGTATATATATTTTATTGTATATATTACAATAAAATTATATTATTACAATATATTATAGTATATATGTATATATTGCAATAAAATATGTAAAATGGTATATATTAAAGTATTTGTACCAGAATAAAAGATTAAAAATAGTGTATATAATATAGTATATATACCATAATAAAATATTTAAAATAGTATATATTATAGTATATATAACACAATAAAATATGTAAAATAGTTTATATTAAAGTATATATACAACTATAAAATATGCAAAAATAGTATATATTATAGTATATACCGTGCAAAAAATGTCAGGATGAGCGAGATCACGCTGGGGGAGCTGGCGGTGCCTGACACGTTCTGCTCGCTGGACGGGTCAGGCTACCAGTGTCCCAGCAACATGGTCTGCAAGAAGCTAGACCTCCCCAGCAGCGTCGGCGGCTTCACGGGCTTCAGCAACTTCGGTAATGTTCTTCAGTTGTTCAGGGGTGTTCCTTAGGTGTTTAGGAAGTGTTGGATGTTCCTTAGGTGTTTAGGGGTGTTGGGTGTTTAGGGAGTGTTGGGTGTTCCTTAGGTGTTCAGGGGGTGTTGGGTGTTTCTTCTCATTACAGCTACATGTATCTTCACGGTGTACCAAGTGTCCCCACACTGATATCAAGTATCCTCCTACCCTCCACACTAATATCAAGTATCCTCCTACCCTCCACACTAATATCAAGTATCCTCCTACCCTCCACACTAATATCAAGTATCCTCCTACCCTCCACACTAATATCAAGTATCCTCCTACCCTCCACACTAATATCAAGTATCCTCCTACCCTCCACACTAATATCAAGTATCCTCCTACCCTCCACACTAATATCAAGTATCCTCCTACCCTCCACACTAATATCAAGTATCCTCCTACCCTCCACACTAATATCAAGTATCCTCCTACCCTCCACACTAATATCAAGTATCCTCCTACCCTCCACACTAATATCAAGTATCCTCCTACCCTCCACACTAATATCAAGTATCCTCCTACCCTCCACACTAATATCAAGTATCCTCCTACCCTCCACACTAATATCAAGTATCCTCCTACCCTCCACACTAATATCAAGTATCCTCCTACCCTCCACACTAATATCAAGTATCCTCCTACCCTCCACACTAATATCAAGTATCCTCCTACCCTCCACACTAATATCAAGTATCCTCCTACCCTCCACACTAATATCAAGTATCCTCCTACCCTCCACACTAATATCAAGTATCCTCCTACCCTCCACACTAATATCAAGTATCCTCCTACCCTCCACACTAATATCAAGTATCCTCCTACCCTCCACACTAATATCAAGTATCCTCCTACCCTCCACACTAATATCAAGTATCCTCCTACCCTCCACACTAATATCAAGTATCCTCCTACCCTCCANGGTGGGTCTAGGGGGCAGATCCCCCAGCAGACCACTACACAGGTGGGTCTAGGGGGCAGATCCCCCAGCAGACCACTACACAGGTGGGTCTAGGGGCAGATCCCCCAGCAGACCACTACATAGGTGGGTCTAGGGGGCAGATCCCCCAGCAGACCACTACACTGGTGGGTTTAGGGGCAGATACCCCAGCAGACCACTACACAGGTGGGTCTAGGGGCAGATCCCCCAGCAGACCACCACACAGGTGGGTCCAGGGTCTAAATTTTGGGGTCCAGTTCCAGAAGATGTGGGGTCTAGGGGGCAGATACCCCAGCAGACCACCAGGGTCTAGGGACACAGTATGTAAGGGCGCTGTAAGACTGTAGACCACCTCTTAGGTGCTGTCAGGAGACGACGCAGGCTGGCGGCTGATGTCAGTACATGACAGCAAGACCACCAGGGTCTAGGGGGCAGGATGTAAGGGTCTAGGGGGCAGGATGTAAGGGTCTAGGGGGCAGTATGTGCGGGCGCTGTAACACTAGACCACCTCCTAGGTGCTGTCAGGAGACGACGCAGGCTGGCGGCTGATGTCAGTCAATGACAGCAAGACCACCAGGGTCTAGGGGGCAGGATGTAAGGGTCTAGGGGGCAGTATGTGCGGGCGCTGTAACACTAGACCACCTCCTAGGTGCTGTCAGGAGACGACGGCGGCTGGCGGCTGATGTCAGTAAATGACAGCAAGACCAAAGGCTGGGCGCCGCATTTCTGCGTCAAGTACCTGCAGTCTGCGGGCTTCTACCTGCTCATCATGGCGGCCATCATCATAGACGCCGTATGGGCGGCCAGCCTTGTCTTCCGCCATGACGGTACCGAGCGGGAGGAGGTCTATAGGAACTACTACTATGCTGAGGTGCGGGCTACTTTATTGTAGAATAATAATAATAAAATATGTTATACAGACCGATGCAAAAGGTTAGCCCCACCCCTTTAAAACATCATAACACATCGAGTTTTGCGAGTTTTATTGTGCAAATGGTGGCAAACGAATCGTCTTGGTCTCAGTAATCAAAATACAATAGACTGTAGTGAAAATGTAATTAGTAACGGAGAAAATGAAAAACACATGTTTTTGCACCGACGCAAAAGGTTAGCCCCACTTTGTACACTTTGACATTTTAAGCAAAACAAAACATATGTCAGCTGCAAAACTAAAAGTTATTTACCGATATGCTCCCCGTTGGCTTTGTAGACATCCAAGCACCGCTTTTCCATGCCCTGAGACAATCTACGGAGGTAGTTGGGGCCCAGATTGGACCAGGCGGCTTGAATGGCCAACTCGAGTTCTTCCTTCGTGTCATACTGCTTCCCGCAAGGCTTAGACGATCCCAGCCATGTACCCG